GTTTATCGCCCCTGGCCCTTAAAATTATTCATCTTAACATCAAGATAAAGCTTTCTATTTTGAATACCCTGTTCTTAGCTGGTGATTCTGAATGATTTCATTTTAAAATATTCATTGTTACTCATTATTCATAGGTTATCTGAGCAATGGTTTAAAGTATTTGAAACAGGGCCGGGCGCGGTGGCTCACACCTGTAATCCTAGCACTCTGGGAGGCCGAGGCGGGCGGATTGTTTGAGTTCAGGAGTTCGAGACCAGTCTGAGCAAGAGCGAGACTCCGTCTCAACTAAAATTAGAAAGAACTTAATCGGCCAACTAAAAATATATAGAAAAAATTAGCCGGGCATGGTGGCGCATGCCTGTAGTCCCAGCTACTCGGGAGGCTGAGGCAGAAGGATCGCTCGAGCCCAGGAGTGTGAGGTTGCTGTGAGCGAGACTGACGCCACGGCACTCACTCTAGCCCGGGCAAAAGAGTGAGACTCTATCTCAAAAAAAATAAAAAAATAAAGTATTTGAAACAATCACAAGGCAAGCAATCTCTAATGTCTGTAAAGAATAAAATGTAAACTATGAGATCTCTTAACATTGGAAACATTTTTTATCTTTGGAACACTGCCCTACTTGAAATTAGGAAAGTACTCATTTTGAAACATTTTTCCCTTTAGCCTTAGAAGTTGCTCCATAGAAGTTGTTTACCACACATAAAGGAGAAATATTTCTGATCTTAATTTTTTTGTTTTTTTATACATTCTTTTTTTAGTGTTTTTTTTTTTTTTTTTTTTACTTTGAGGGCTTTTTATGGCCCTAAATTCTTCAAATCTGAATTTCTATAAGTTCCATTATCTCTTTCTCTAATCGTCTTCCCTTACTTCCATATCCATAGAGTGTGTTACTATACTTAATATTTGACATAAAGAGTGTCTTCATATTTTGTAATGTAACAACATTTTATTAGCACTACAGGATGCCCCTCAGCTACTGGGAGGCTGAGGCAGGAGGACTACTTGAGGCCAGGGGTTCGAGGTTACAGCGAGACTGTCTCAAAAAAAAGAAAGAAAAGAAAAGAAAAGAAAGGGTGCTCAACTTCATTAATCATCAGAGAAATGCAAAGTGAAACTACAATGAGCTACCACTACACACCCACCAGACAACACCAAATGTTGGGAAGGGTGTGAAGCAGTTAGGACTCTCGCTCACTGCTGGTAAGAGTGCAAATTGGTACAACCACTCTGGAAAATTCTTCCATGGTATCTACTAAATTTAAGAATATACTTACTCTGCTATCCAGCGATTCCACTCCTAGGTATGTATCTGACATAAATGCACACATCAGATCACCAAACATGTACTAAAATGATCAGAGCAGCACTATTTGTAATGGCCCCAAATAGTGGAATGGATAAATTGTGGTAGATTCATACAATGGAATATTATATAGCAATGAAATGGAATGTTTCACAGCTACACACAACAACATAAATGAATCTCATAGTCATAAATGTTGAGATAAAGAAGGCTGTCAAAAAAGAATGCATACTGCATGATTCAGTTTACATAAAGGTCCAAACAGGCAAAACTAATCCATAGCGTTAGATGTCAGGATGGTGGTATTCTAGGTGGGGGAAATGACTAGGAAGGAGCGGGAGTGCTGGCAATGTTTTGTTTCTTGATCTGTGTGGTGGTTACGCGAGTGTGTTCACTTTGTCAAAATTTAGCAAGCCGTATGCTATTTGTGTACTTGTCTGTATATGTGTTATACTTCAGTTAAAAGCTTAATTAAAAAGAAAGTTTACAGTGTATGGTAGACAGAATAATGGCTCCCCCAAAGTTGTCTACATCCTAATCCCCAGAACCTGTTATATGGCAAAAGGGGATTAAGGTTGCTAATCAGCTGGCCTTAAAATAGGAAAATTATCCTGGATTATACAGGTGGGCCTGATGTGATCACAGTGGTCCTTAAAAGTGGAAGAGGGAGCCAGAGAAAGTAAAAGAGACATAGACAGAAGCAGGGTCAGAGAGAGATGCTATGCTGCCGCTTCAAAGATGGAGGAAGGGACCTCAAGCCAAGAAATGCCGGCAGCCAAGAATCCAAAAAGAACAAGGAAATAGATTCTCTTCTAGAGCCTCCAGGAAGGAACTCAGTCCTGTCCACAACCTGATTTTAGCCCAGTGTGACCCATGTTGGACTTCTAACCTACAGAACTGTAAGATAATAAATTTGTGTTATTTAAAGCCACTACATTTGTGGTAATGTTATAGCAGCAATTGGAATCTAATATGGTTGGTGTGGGGGAAGATCAAGTGTTCAATTTGGGATGTGTTCAGTGACTCTGAACACATTAGATATCTAAGTGGAGATGTCAAGCAGGCAGTTGGATATATGAGTATAAAATTCAGGAGAGAGGTATGGGCTGGAGATATAAATTTTGGAGTTGTCAGCAAAGAGAAAAGCTGAAAGAATGTATAAGATTAACAAAGGAGTGACTCCGTAGATAGAAAAGAGGTCTAAGGGTTGAGCCCTGGGATACCAACTCTGGTGGATAACAAATCTCTGGTGGTTTAAAGCCAGTGAGCACTCCAAAACAGAGGCATACACTTACCAAGATGTAAGTGCAGAGCTAAGCAGTAGGCCAGAGGCAGATACTTAAGCAAGGCTTGTATAATAAAAGCACCCAGGTACTGAAGGCAAGAGTAATAAATCCTAAATACAAGGAAACAATCTTGACAACAAGAATTAGGAATTCAAGCATGGGCTGGTCAATTGGGGTGAGAAAATTTAAGTACAGAGTCTGGGTAACTTATTCCAGACGTCAGCAAAGATGGGACCTTGGCCCTGAGCCAGTTTTCTGCCTTGGGTTCCTATTGCATCCTTAATTTGGTTCCTGCCTTCTACAGGTGTCTGCATATCTCCCTAGTTTATCATTTTCCCTTCTCTCCCATTTCTTCACCCTTTTTTCTTAATTGTACATAATACAGAAATAACATGTTCAATTGAGTCTAAGGCACTTTCTTTCACATTTTAACACTTCTGAAATCAAGATACATCTTAACATTGTTGATATGTCATAGTTCAATTGGCAACATATTTTATTCTTTCTTGGTGTGTAAAATAAAGGTGGTCTTAAAGTGAATGGTATCTTAGATTTGATGTGATGCAAATGCCCTCTCATTTGGGGCAATATTTTTTAAATTTTTTTTTTTTGAGACAGAGTCTTGCTTTGTTGCCCTGGCTAGAGTGACTGCCGTGGCGTCAGCCTAGCTCACAGCAACCTCAAACTCCTGGGCTCAAGCAATCCTCCTGCCTCAGCCTCCCGAGTAGCTGGGACTACAGGCATGCGCCACCATGCCCGGCTAATTTTTTCTATATATTTTTAGTTGTCCAGCTAATTTCTGTCTATTTTTTGGTAGAGACGGGGTCTCACTCTTGCTCAGGCTGGTCTAGAACTCCTGACCTTGAGTGATCCACCCGCCTCGGCCTCCCAGAGTGCTAGGATTACAGGAGTGAGCCACCGTGCCCAGCCTATTTTTTAAATTTTGTATTTTTTTTTTTATCTTTCAGGGCTGAACTTTATTAAGGTACAATTTATATAAAATAAAAATTTGAGTGTCCAATGAGTTTAAACAAATGTGTGCGGTTAGGCAACCACCACCACAATCATAATAAGGAACATTTTCAGCACTCCAAAAAGCACCTTTGCAATCAATTCCCTCCACCCACCCTGCCTGATCTGCTTTCTCTCACTATAATTTTACCTTTTCTAGAATTTCATGTAAATGGAATCGTACAACATGTACTCTCTTTGCGTCTGGATTCTTTCACTCAACACAATCATTCTGAGACTCACTTAGACAGACTCTCTCAGACTCACTTGATAGGTGTCTCAGTAGTTCATTCTTATTGCTGAGTAGCATTTTATCCTATGAATGTACCACATTTTGTTTATGCATTCGCCTGTTGATGAACATTTGGATTGTTTCCAGTTTGGGGTCATTATAAATAATGTATAATTGGCCTTTTAAAAAGCGGGGTGGAGGGTGATCCCAGTTAAATCAAGTTGGGTTTTATTTTTTACCCCTTCTCTGTGGAGTCCCCAGGAGAGAATCCTTTTACTAAAAAAAGGTGATGAAAATAAATCTCATACATTTTGGTCATATTACTACTTTAAATACCAGTATCTTGTGAGTGTTTATGAAGTATCTGCGAATCCTAATCAATCTGCGGAAAAGAAATTCTAAAGCTTCTGAAAGTACACTTTAGATTCAGTGATAGAAAATGCAAGTCGTTCCTCTAGTGAGGCAAAATTTGGATAATACTGAGTTTATATGAGGAAAACTAAGCGAAGTACGGGCCGCAAAACCTATCCTTCGACTTGAAAAACACTAAATTTTCAAGATGAAAGTATCCAATTTACTACAAATAGGGACCCTGAGAAATCTATGGCTTCAGAACGCCCCACCAAAAGAGGGGGGCTGCTTTGTATGCCGGGACTCGTAGTCCCTGACAGAGTCGTTCCTAGTCAAGATGGCGGAGTTGCTAATGACGCGCGAAGGAGCGAGACCCCAGGGAGTCTGGGCCGCGAGGGGATTGGGCGGTGCGGGGATTTCGCAGGCTGGAAGTAACGACCAGGTGTTAAAACCTTTCCGTTGTGGGAGGATGGGTGTCCTGAAGTCTCGCGAGATCCTGGCGGGGCCCAGTGGAACGCGGGGCCCGGCTTATCACCAAGGGCAGTTGTTGGGGGCGGAGCTTTGACGGGTGCTGCCCGGCCGTAGGTGCCCGGCGTAGCGAGGTTCAGGCCGAGCAGCCGTTGCGAGGAACGCAGTCGTGGCCATGAAGGAAGAGAAGGAGCATAGGCCTAAGGAGAAGCGAGTAACCCTGTTAACGCCCCCGGGGGCCACAGGTAGTGGCGGTGGGACTTCGGGGGACAGCGCCAAAGGGGAAGATAAGCAGGATCGCAATAAGGAGAAGAAAGAGGCGCTGAGCAAGGTGCCCGGCCGGCGGTTGGCTCCGGAGAGGGCGGGACGGGCCCGCGGCTCGTGGAGGATGGTTGGGAATGGGGCTGCCCTCTTCCTCTTCCCGGTCCCCTCCCTATCTCTTCGCTCAATGAAAATCGTATCACCCTGTCTCATCCACTCCCCCGAAATGGGGGGAGCCCCTCCCAGCCAAGCCCTGGGGTGGGGGTTAGGAAAAGAGGGACTCCCTAGAAGAGAACGGTTTAGGTCAGAGCTGTGAGGTAATGGGGGGGAGCGACGGTAAAAATAATGAGGAATTAAATGTTTAACTGGGGACAATTATTAAATAGTGAAGGGGACATCAGGGATGGGAGTAGTTTGTGGTAGGAATAGTCATGGTCCGCCGGGAGCGGGGGATCGAGGGAGAGCTCAAGGCGGATGAATGGTCTGTGAGGCAGACCCAGAGCATCCTAGAGTTTTGAATTCTTTAGGCTGAATGGGGCAAGGATTTTGTTTTAGGGTATGTTGGACGTGGGAGAGAAAGATTACTAAATCAAGATTTCGTGGCACCCACAAAGACGAGGGGTTGGCCTACTAATTTCTTGCCACTACATCTGTTGAAAAATAGGTGATAGAAAATGATAGGCAAACCTGATAAACTGCAGGCTTAAGAGCAAAACTTGAAATTTTCCTTGCTCCAGGCAGTTCTCATTCCAAAGAGTTTTTAAAAACCACTTTAACTATTATGTTTGACTAATTCTGAGCATTGAGCTGCAGAAGAATGTTTTCTCCTAGGTTTTTATAAGTGATCTCATATTTTAAAGCCCATCTTTCTTCAGGAACTGTGATTCTTTGAGGTATGACAGAAAATTGGTTTGTACTAATTTTATTTTACTTATTCATTTCTTAAGGTGGTAATTCGAAGATTACCTCCCACTTTGACCAAGGAGCAGCTTCAGGAACATCTTCAACCTATGCCTGAACATGATTATTTTGAGTTTTTTTCTAATGATACTAGGTAAAAAAAAAAAAAAAAAAGAGGGAGGAGGGATAAAAGGTTTTTTCCATTCTTTTTATCCTACTAATGTTTTCCATTTGATTTTTGAGCCTGTCTCTTTAATATATGCATACTTGTAATTCAGCCAGACACCTGCAAGCACATTTACATAATTGCTTTCCTCTCTGCAGTCTGTATCCTCATATGTATGCCAGAGCATACATCAACTTTAAAAACCAGGAGGACATTATTTTGTTCAGGGATCGCTTTGATGGTTATGTATTCCTTGACAATAAAGGTGAGTCCTTGTAACTGAACTAGAAGGGGAGTTTCTTTGTCATTTGTATATTTAAGACAATATACACATCGCAGAGTTTCCTGGGTGATAAAATGTGCATCATTTAAAGAGTTTTACACATTTGATAAGCTTATTACAGTCTTATAAATAGACATGCGACTTTTCACAGCCCTTGGGTATTTTTATTGTTATTTCTTTAGTTTGATCAGCTGAATTAAATTGCCACTTCTCGTGTGACCAAGTTTTTGCCCTGGATTAGACATGCTATTTTGACTGTTTAATTTCAGCAGCAGTGCTGATAAATGACTCTTTAAACTTGTTTGACAAGTTTTAAATATTTACTTTTCATCTTGCTTCAAGGACCAACATTTATTTATTTAATTCAAATCCTTGTAGCCAACAATTTTCAGTTGCAATACTGTTTAACATTTTCACAAAGTTATATATAATTAAAAGATTGAATTTGATGATCTTTCATTTTGTATCCAGGAGGGTCAAGTCTATAGGGAAGACAAATTTCTGCCATAACTCTCTTTTAATTTATTGTCTACTGCTTGCAGCACTTAGCCAGAGACTGTCTAAGCTGCTATTTGCCACTTTTCTTTTGGCTTTGTATCGATAGGTGAGTGGTGTGTCTTCATGTTTAGTTTTGTTGTTTTCAGTATTACTTCAAAGTTGGTGAAAATTAAATATTTGTCAAGGAATATGTCAGTAAAAATTGAAGAATTGCCACTGTTTGTCCAACTTTCATTCATCTCCCCAAACCAGCTCTTTCTTCACTCCAAACTTTTTTTTTTTTTTTTGAGATAATGTCTCACTCTGTTGCCCAGGCTGGCCTGCAGTGGCATGATCATAGCTCACTGCAGCCTTGAAATCCTGGGCTCAAGCCGTCTTCCTACCTCAGCCTCCCAAGTAGCTAGGACTATAGGTACATGCCACCACTCGGCTAATTTATTTATTTTTTTTAGATATGGGGTCTTGCTGTGCTGCCCAGGCTGGTATTGAACTCCTGGCCTCAAGCCATCCTCCCACCTTAGCCTCCCAATGTACTAGGATTACAGGCATGAGCCACTCCAAGTATGTGCTCAGCCTCCACTCCAACTTTTTTATTCCAGTAGATAGATAGCAATGGTTTCCTAGTTACTTAGCCTGGAAGTCTGAGTTGTGTTTAGTTTTTTCCTTTTTTTATTCCTTACATTTAAAACAAGTGATGAAACTTGTTGGTTTATTGTTTTTTAATGTCTAGATAACCTACACTTACTAATACTTTGATACTTTATATCCTCATCACCTAACACTTAGACAACCACTGTCTCTAAACTGATAGAATTTTCAATTTTTTTCTACTTTTGTATAATTCAGTCTATTATAGTGCCATAAAATTAATCTTTTTGAAAATAATGATTTAAGTTAATAGTTGTGAAGAAAAAGTCCAAACTCTTTAGCCTGGTAGTCAGGGTCCTCCATAATCTGGCCTCACTTCTGTTTTTCTAGCCTGTCTTTCCCTCTGCTTCAGTCTGGTTTATCTGTTCCTTCTATATCACAGTTTTGAAGCTAATCTCATTCTGCATTTACTAGGACTCCCAAAAGCATGTTTCAACCATGACTGCTATGTGTTACCTTTTTGTTAGGTCTAACTATTTTATTCTGGCTTATATCTACATGCTAATTATCTAAGGATAGGATTTTATAGCTTATATGATGTTGTCCTATGGCAGGGAGTTGGTGTTATTTTTGTTTCCAGTAGTCACTTGGGGTTTTCTTTTCTTTTTTTTTCACATTCAACTCCAAACTTGGGGTTTTCTTATTGAACTATACCTCATATGTCATACAATTCACCCTTTAAAAGTGTACGATTAAGTGGTTTTTAGTATATTCACAAAGTTATACAACCATCACTACTAATTCCAGAATGTTTCATCACTCCAAAAAGAAACCCATATCCATTAGTAGTTGTTTCCTGTTCTCCCTTCCCCGAGGCCCCTGGCAACCAACCACTAATCTACTTTCTGTATCTGGATTTCCCTCTGCTGGACATTTTCATATAAATGGAATTGTAAAACATGTGGCCCTTTGTGACTGGCTGCTTTTATTTAGCAGTTTTCAAAGTTCTTCCATGTCATAGCACATATCATTACCTCATTTCTTTTTTTGTTTGTTTTTTAAATTGCAGTAAAATGTATATAATGTAAAATTTACCATCTTAACCATTTTAAGCGTTCAGTAGTGTCAAAGTATATTCACGTTGTTGTACAAGCAATCTTCAGAACTTTTTCATCGTGTAAAACTGAAACTTTATACCCATTAAACAACTCCACATTTCCAGTTCTCCCCTACCCCTGGCAACCACCATTACACTTTCTGCCTCTATCAGTTTTACTACTCTAGGTATCTCATATAGTGGAATCATATAGTGTCTTTCGTGACTGGCTTATTTCACTTAGCATGATGTCCTCAAGGTTCATCCATGTTGTAGCATGTATCAGAATTTCCTTCATTGTCAAGGCTGACTAATATTCCATTGTGTGTGTGTATATATATATATATATATATATATATATATATACACATTGTATATATATTTTGTTTATTCACTCATCCATTGATGGGTTGCTTTCACTTTTTAGCTATTGTGAAAAATACTGCTATGAACATGAGTGTACAAATACATGTTCAAGTCTCCACTTTCGCTTCTTTCAGGTATATACCCAGAAGTGGAATTTCTGGGGTTATATGGTAATTCTATTTCTAGTTTTTTGAGGAGCTGCCATACTGTTTTCCATAGCACCTGCACCATTTTACATTCTCATCAAGAATACATGAATATGAATGTTCCAGTTTCTCCACATCCTTGCCAACACTTATTATTTGACTTGTTATTTGCAGGCTGGGGGGGGCTGGTTTTTTGGTTTTTTTGAGACAGGGTCTCACTCTATTTCCCAGCTAGAGTGCAGCGGTGTCATTGTAGCTCAGTGCAGCCTCAAACTCCTGAGCTGGGCGCAAGTGGGCCTTCTGCTTCAGCCTCCCAAGTAGCTGGGAATATAGGTGTGCACCACCAAGCCTGGCTGATTTTTCTGTTTTTTGAAGAGACGAGGTCCACTATGTTGCTTAGGCTGTTCTCGAACTCTTGGACTCAAGCCATCTTCCTACTTCGGCCTCCCAAAGTGCTGGGCCTGGACTTGATTTTAAATTTTTTGGAGGGGTCTTCCTATGGTGCTAGGCTGGTCTCAAACTCCTGGCCTCAAGCCATCCTACTGCTTCGGCTTCCCAAGGTGCTAGGATTATAGGTGTGAACCACTGTGCCCAGCCAATTTTTTATTTTTTCTTTTATTGTGGTAAGAACACTTAACATGAGATCTACCCCCTCTAATTTTACTTTTGTTGCTGTGCTTTTAGTGTCTTGGTGTTTTTTTTTTTTTTTTTTTAGTGATAATAGGGTATAATTGACAAAACTGTACATATATTTAAATTGTACAATGTGATAATTTGATATATGTCTACATGTGAAATAATTACCACAGTCAAGCTGATTAACACATCAATCATCTCACATAGTTAGGCTTTTCTTAAATAACAGCTTTTGATAATTCACGTACCTTAAAAATTTAGCCTTTTAAAGTGTGCATTTCAGTGATTTGTAGTATATTCACAGAATTGTGCAACCACCACCACAATCTAAGTTTAGAACATGTTCATCATCCCAATGAGAAATCCCACCCATTAGTTGTCATTCCTCATTCTTCACACCACTACCACCCCCAACTTTGTACAGCCACTAATTGACTTTCTGTCTCTATGGATTTGACTATTCTATAGATTTATAATTATTTTTAAATGAAATTTAGCTTGTAGGGTCTTTTTTCACATATTGCAATATCACATCTTACTTTTTTTAACAAGCCCTTTTTAAAGCATGGACAGTATCGCATTTTAGAAGTTGAATTTAAATAATACTTTCATGCCATATCTTTTCATTATGTTATCAGTGTGAATTTTGGGCTCCTTTCATAGTGTATTGATTATGGTTGTGCCAGTGTGCTTTATGCCCTTTGGGAGACCCTCTTCAGATGACTGCCATCAGAGGAGGCCTAGAAAGCAGTGAGTTGATTCCCTTCTATCCACTTTTGACATTTTCTTTGTTATGGCAAGTGTGGTATTTTTTTTTCTAAACAGGTCAGGAATATCCTGCTATAGTAGAATTTGCACCTTTTCAAAAAGCTGCAAAAAAGAAGACTAAGAAAAGAGATACCAAAGTTGGGACTATCGATGATGGTACAGTATAGTTCTAGTTATATAATGCTATTGCCATGGAGTTTTTTAAAAAATACTTTTGTGAGAGGTACTTAGACCCCAATATTTTATAGAATATAGAATAAAGTTAATGAGAAATGTTAATTGCCGATGGAAACTTTGCTTAATTGTTAGAATGGAGGTGAGTTTCCTACAGAGTTTCTGCTTTCTTTGGCTAGTGGCATTTCATTCCTCCACCACTGAACAGTATAGTGTTGACTATTGAGCAGCAAATGAAAAAATTCAGATGTTTCAAAATATAACAACTGCTCCTTGAGGCCTTTTACCATTTTTATGATTATTTGACTTTTGGTTCCCATTATATTTATAAAAAAGAAGGTTTGAACTATGATGGAAAAATTTCCATACCCAAGTAACTTCATACAAAGTAGCTGAAGTGGTCAGTCCTATTTTCTAGGCCTGACTATGCAGTTCACTACACACATATTAATAGTAATTAAGTTGAACAGAAATATAAGAACTGAAAAACTAGAATAATTGCCATTTGAAGTAAACCAGCTCCAGATTTTGAGAGCTCTGTAACGTTATGCTGTTATGTTGGATAACTGTTAGATAACTCTTGTTATGTTGGATAAGGACTTAGCCTCTGTATTTTATATCAGATTGATATCTTAGAACAATCTAGTTTAATTTCCATCATTTGTTATAATAGGTATTTTATAAAGAAAACAGTAAAAACTCAGTAACATACAGTTGCTTATTAGTTATATAACAGATTTCCATCTGAAAGACTAGATTCAGTGACAATGGTCAACAGTATATAGAAGCAACGAATATGACTCAGACATGTTACCCTTTCTCATGTCAGAGGTGTCTGGGAGAGAACTCCAGGAATTATCTTCACTTCCAGTGCCATGTATAGGACTTCCCCCTTAATTTATCTTTTTGGAACACCTGATTTTCATATGTTGAGTTTATTTAAAATGAGGTATACCCATAGAAGAATTGCTTAAATGCTATACATAATATTCTCTGAAGATTCCATAGCTGCCATAAGTATGACTCTGGATTAGTAGGAGCAGTGACTTTTAAAAGCAAACTATGTAACACCCTTGGCAGTTTTGTTACAATGTATAGTGTCTCATTTTTCCTGATCTCCTGTTTCACCAGACTCCCTTAGTGAGTACGGGTAATAGGAGCTCTGAGTGTAAGTGACCAATTAAGCCCTAAATAGTCTATCTTGTTGGTATAGTTTTTTTTTTAATCAATCTTCCATGAAGTAGAAAATCATCTTTGATAAATAAGTATCCTAGATAATAAATATCTCCTTTTTTGTTTAAAGTCTGCTATATTTTTCTGTTTTCTTGAATGATTATTTAGATCCAGAATATAGAAAGTTTTTGGAAAGTTATGCCACAGATAATGAGAAAATGACATCTACTCCAGAGACACTGCTAGAGGAAATAGAAGCAAAAAATAGAGAATTAATAGGTAAGTGGGCAGAAGGAATTAGGGCAACAGCTTTTTCATCACAATACCTAAGTCTGTCTCCCACTTTCATCACTTGCTAGCTGTGTGACCTTGGGGAAGTCATTAGCTTCTCTGAGACTGTTTCTTCTGCTATAAAATGCAGGTGATAATACCTGCCACACAGGATTATGAGAATGCATTGATAAGATGGAAAAACTTCTCTGACCTATTTAGTGTCACACAACTGTATTATAAAAAGTTTGAAGACTAATAAGGGATGTATAGACAATGGTAAGCCTTTGAAGATCAATTGGTATTTCCTAGTAATAAGTTCCTAGTCCTAAAAAAATTCTGACTTGAAAATATCAAAAACTGAAATTAGTTACTGTAAAATTGAAAACTTTTTGAGAAAGTCTAGCTTGGGTGTTGGTTCTAAGTAGTGGGCTATCACTACTCTATCAGTAGCTCTAAACATGAGCAGTCTTTGATCTAGCATTTCCATTCCTAAGAATTTATCCTAAGGAGGTATGTGTTCACAAAGATGGCTACAAGGCTAATAGCATTGTTATAGATACATAGTATATGCCCATTTCTGGTAACTTCCTTAAAATAAATTCCCAGAAGTAGAATTATGCAGTCAAAAGGATTAGATATTTTCTTTGCCCCTTCCCCCAATTTCTTTACAGTTGAACATATTTATACCCATGTCAGTAAAACAAGAAAATGTCCTTCATATTTAATTCTCACCAACTGGGAATTAGTCTTTTAAAAAACAGCTTTATTTTCATTTGAATTTCTTCACTTTTAAAAAAGCATTTTAAACCCGTATTGTTGAAATAGGAATACTGTTAAACTTCTTTCTGATGATCCAGTTGTGAGCTTTCTGTTTAAGGGGTATAGTTTTCCCACCTTGGGTGGGTGGCAGGGAATGTCAGAAGATGGAATCCTTTCTAGGGGTTGATAAGTATTATATTAATAATCTGTTTACATTTATGTAGCTAAAAAGACAACCCCACTTTTGAGCTTCCTGAAAAACAAGCAGGTAAATCTTTTGTTTTTATAGTTCTCTCACTACTTTAATTTAATTGGTTCATATTTTATAAACATTTTAAGAGCATTGGGGTTCTATAGGAGAAATAGCTGCATTTTCAGCATTAATCTTCAAAGATTTGGCCCATTGGTCTCACTCTCTGGCCCTCTCCTTCACTCTGGTTGTTGGACCAGGGGTTCGCTCTGCAAACCTGGAGAGTCCTTAGCTTGTCCTAGAGACACTCTCTTGATATTCTGAAAGCATCTAGAAATATAGCAAGGCAGCAATAGATTTTGATATTAGCAGGTCCTAGTCTTCATTCTCTGTAATTTTCTTGGTGGGGTGGGGGTAAGGAGGTAGCATGCCACTTTGTAGAAAGTAGGAAGGAAAGATGGTCCAGTTTAGTGGGTGCCCACCATGTTTTTGTGATTGATTAGAATTTTGGTGCTGATTATCTTATTTGAAGGTTTGTGTTGGTGTTTCTTTCTAGAGAATGAGAGAAGAAAAGAGAGAAGAAAGGAGGAGGCGAGAAATAGAAAGAAAAAGACAAAGAGAAGAAGAGAGGAGAAAATGGAAAGAAGAAGAGAAACGAAAAAGGAAAGATATAGAAAAACTAAAGAAGGTAGACAGAGTTCCAGAAAGGGACAATAAATTAAAGGATGAACCAAAGATTAAGGTATGAAAATAATTGTAACTGACTGCATGTTGCTGATAATTGTGTGTCTGCCTCTTTAAATATGCATGCATCTTGTGTTAATGTAAATAAGGTTTTGGTTTTGGTTTTGTTTTTGTCCTTTTTGGGGGGAAGTGGGCCATTAAAAATCTTTCCTATAATCCTATTATTTTTTAAATTTAAGATCATTTAAATGGATTAAGTATTTTATGTTATCATTTTTTCAATGTAGATCTGTTTTATTTTTTATCATTGAAAATGTTCGATTTTTAGATTACTGTTCTCTCAATTCATAGTAAATGAGGGCTTAGGGCTGGCTGGCATGAATTATGGGTTTTATTCAGCTTTTCCTTCATAATTGATACATGAAGTTGCCTCATCTGTTTGTTTTCCACTGTCTTCAGGTACACAGGTTTCTGTTACAAGCTGTGAATCAGAAAAATGTAAGGACCAAGTACATGATACAGAGCACCTAGTATCATGTCACACACACAGGTCTTAGTTAATAAGTCCTTTTGGTGGTGGTGGTAGTAGTGTTACCTATTGAAAACCCCTTCAGACTGACTTGGGTCTTCTTAAAAGCTGAGTTGTTTTAAATACCTACTTTAAAGGAATCTCAGATGACTTCCTGATGCTCTGCTGTGTACCCAGAAGCTTCAGTGACATACAGCCAGAGGATAACCATGCCTATATAGCTCTTTCTCACCTTATATGACTCTCATAACTGGCTTCCTTATGGGAGGACTAGGAATATATATCCTGCATTATGTGCCTTTCCCTCTCATGTGACTCCCATGTTATCTTCTTGAATCAAGCTGGGAATCTGGGAGCAGCAGATTCTGATTAATGTATTGCATGTAGGAAGCGGAAAACCTATAGAAAGATCCCAAACTTGCTGCTTCCTTTCTGAGGGCATGCCTTGGGCAGCCCTTGCTCCAGTGAACTTCAAAAAGTCAGAGAAAATCTCACAGGTGGTGGCAGGATCTCCTTTTATCTCCTGAAAACTCAGCAGTTTATGTAGCTAAGGTTTCCTGAGTCTCTACAGGGCTTATTATTGGTGATAAGGGGATTGGGGAGGAGCGGAGTTTCTCATCTTAATTCCTTTAAGCAATCTCTCTGTCCGCCATGCCACAAGTGACTTGACTTGCTATTCTTAACAATCAGCAAGGCAGAAGGTAGAGCCAGCCATGCTAGAGACGTTCGTTAATGTTCTTACTAGAGTAATGAACATCTTGGCTTCTAATAAAGACGTTCATTAGAGAAATAAGAACACTTCCAATGAAACCTGCACATGGTATCCTTACTTCACACTGATGCCTTCTTAGTGTCCAGTTTGGATTTTCCATTTGCAGTGGCTATCTGTGTGCTGACATACCTCATGCTTGAGTCTTGTGGTGCTTTGCCTTTTGCTTGTTGACTTGTTTGATGCCTTCACCCTGAGATGAAACTTGTATAATACCTTTACCCTGAAACTTGAAATTCTTCTATTTTGCCTAAGAATCTCTCTGACTATCCAACACTTGGGGGTATTCTAGAGAGATTTGTAGCAGTGATATGAGAAACAATGGCACTTTCGGACATATATAAATATGTATGGCATTGAGTACAGAGTTCCTACTCAATAGAGATGGAACTTCACCATTCTGTTGTATAAGGCATTTAGATTTTTAAATCAAATGCCAAATAATTCTTGCTATTCATCTTTAATGATAATATAATTCTACCATTATAAGTATGTTACTCTCAGGCTCAAGGCACCATTATTCCTGCAATGGATCTCTCCTTTGGTGGTGAAGGTGTTTGTCATTCCAAGTACTACATAAAAAAACAGTCCAACAGTAATGATCTGCCTAGAATTTTAAACTTGTGGGATATTTCCCATCAAGTTACACTGACACGCCGATTTGGTACAGAAGCATACTTGGAAGTGTGCATTGGTTCACTTAAAGGTTGACCCACTGAAAGCCAAAGGAGTCTTGATCCCATTGCCACAAAGTGATTAAACCACTTCATTTGGGTGGATAACACTTTCACATTAATATCATCCTTTTAGTAAATTACTACTCTCGTGCACTAGTAGTAGTTCACCTGAAAGTTTAGAGTACCTGCAGAGATGGGGGCTTCTGTAGTCTAAATTTTAAATATTTAGTATATTGTTTTCTTTGATAGAATGAGAAGACAGTGTCTCACCCTTCAAAATAAAAATAAACATATTCTCTTTAAAGCTGCTGAAGAAGCCAGAAAAAGGAGATGAAAAAGAGTTGGACAAAAGAGAAAAACCTAAGAAATTGGACAAAGAGAATCTGAATGATGAAAGAGCCAGTGGGCAAAGTTGTACATTGCCCAAGCGATCTGATAGCGAACTTAAAGATGAGAAGCCAAAGAGGTCAGTAGTCGAGGGCTCTTTGGTATATTTGATTTCTAGATGCTAGTTTTGCTGCTATATTCTGGACTTTGACCTGAATTAAGATAAACTGTTTTATCCGGGGCAGGGGGATGAGGAGGAAGGGTTTCAAATATTCTAGTGTCTTAATCTGGGTGAATGGTTTTTGGTTTCTGTTGCTTTTTAAAACACTAGTATTTTTCACTCTGCTCTAAAAGTATATCCTCACTGCAGTGGACCAGTCAGAATCGCAGTGTTCCTGCATTTGTGATTACAGGATCTTTGAGGGTTCTAGCTCAGATTTGTTTTTCATGCAGAGCTGAAGATGACAGTGGCAGAGACTACAGGGAGAGAGAACGGGATTATGAACGAGATCAGGAGCGCATACTTCGAGAAAGGGAGAGGCTGAAGCGGCAAGAAGAAGAGCGCCGTAGGCAGAAGGAGCGTTATGAGAAAGACAAGGCTTTTAAAAGAAAAGAAGAAGAAATGAAAAAAGAGAAAGAAGCACTTCGGGATAAAGGAAAGAAGAATGAAAGTACGGAATCATTAGGCAGCTCAGAAAAAGCAGAAAAGAAAGAGGAAGTGGTTAAGAGAGATCGCATAAGAAACAAGGTGCTGCTTTTTGTTAAACTTGTCTATTTTCATGAGGATTTTTTTCCTTTTCCTGCAAGTGTAAAGGAAAAGGCTAGCTCATTGTTTATTGTAGGATTTTGAAAGGGGAAATTTAACTATCTGCAACCTTTTTTTTTTTCAGTCTTGCTGGGTTCTTTTATTAACTTATTGCAGAAATTTCAAACATACACAAAAGTAGAGAGAATAGAGTATGACAAACCCCCATGTACCCATCACCCAGCTTTTCAGCAATTATCAGCTCATGCCAACTTTCTTTCTGCTCTATTCCATCCCTACCCCTACTGGATTATTTTCAAGCAAATCCTAGACATAATTTCTTCCTTAAGGACGTCAACATTTGAGATGAAGACTCTTTTTCTTAATATAACCCTAGTAGCATTTTCACACCAAAAAAAAACTAATAATAATTCCTTAACATCCTCTCTACTAAGTGTTCAGATTTTTCCAATTGCTGTTAAGGTCCACAAATTGTATTTGCTTGAAATGTCTCCTTAAGTTCTCTTTTAATCTAAATATTTTGCTGGAATTATTTAATTTCAAATAATGTTTTAGGGCTAACTTTCATAAATCAGGGAGAAAGTAGGAAAGGCTCATGTAATTTTTTGTTGAATTCTAAAAAAAGGCCTATATGTTTATGTTTTCCATGATTTTATTGTCATAAACTAAACACATTACTTGAACTAAGAGGTACATGATAACTTTATTGCGGCTTATTTAGGAATCTGAGATCTAAAACGCCACTTGCTGAAGTGTTACATTATACCTGAATTAAAAAACAAATTATGTTCATGGCAAGTTACTTGGAGTCTGAGCTCATAATTTCAGGGAAATCTCCACTTAAGAGTTTTCATTCTCGGCCAGGCGCGGTGGCTCACACCTGTAATCCTAGCACTCTGGGAGGCCAAGGCGGGCAGATTGTTTGAGCTCAGGAGTTCGAGACCAGCCTGAGCAAGAGCGAGATCCCGTCTCTACTGGAAATAGAAAGAAATTGGCCAAACAACTAAAAGTAGAAAAAATTAGCTGGGCATGGTGGCGCGTGCCTGTAGTCCCAGCTACCTGGGAGGCTGAGGCAGGAGGATCGCTTGAGCCCAGGAGTTTGAGGTTGCTGTGAGCTAGGCTGATGCCATGGCATTCTAACCCAGGCAAGAGAATGAGACTCTGTCTCAAAAAAAAAAAAAAAAGTTTTCATTCTCTATTATTGTTGGTTTTACTCCTAAACATTTTCTTATGTGGTGGTACATCTTAAAGTCAACTTACTGATGGGGAGGACAGATAGGCAATAGCTGTGGTTTCTAAGTAAAAAAAAAAAAAAATCAGGCTGATTAGTTCAACTTGAGATGGTTAAGAAAATAAGGCAGATTTCTCAAAAATTTACCCTAAGCATATAAAATAATACTTACAAAATGGTTGTTTTTCTTTGAAGGTAGGGGAGATAAAGTGGGCAGTTGTCATGTACTATGCCCTCACATTTTTGTCTTATATGACTTGTTTTGGGTATATGTTAATACATAACATGTGTCTCTGAAAATCCCGTGTAGAAAGCTCAGTAGCAACGTTTTCACATTAACATATTTCATTTTACTTTAGGATCGCCCAGCAATGCAGCTTTACCAACCGGGAGCTCGAAGCCGAAATCGACTCTGTCCCCCTGATGACTGCACCAAGTCTGGAGATTCAGCAGTAGAAAAAAAGCAGGAAAGTGGTATTAGCCATAGAAAAGAAGGAGGAGAGGAGTGATAAGTCCAAATGGCCTTAGGTGTCCTGACTGTCTCGGCAGCCAAAGAGCAAGTGTTAAGCAATCCAGAAATGCCTTCAGGGCAAAGGAATAGAGAGAAAGAAAGGGAGTCGCTGCGCTGGTGGGGTACACTGCAGAGGAGTATGTTTTGCGTCAAAGCAGGAATCTGATCGCAGGTTTAGAATTGGAAGTACAATTTCATTGTTTTTGAAATTTCTAAAAATTAATTTTAACATGTCAGAAAAAGATGATGGCGAGGACATGCATTACAATTTGCAGGAGAGATGCAGCTGAATTTTTGAAGGAAAAAAATTTGCAGGAGAGAAATGTTAAGTGACAAATATGTATGACATGAGAAAAAAATAAGAGCTGGTTCTAAAATCAAAATATGTTGTTAATCCTGGATTGAATTTTCTTAATTTGGGTGGAGCAGAGTCACTTTGAAGTCTTGCTCAGATCTAGTTATATTGCATTGTTGGTGATAACTGTTGACTTTGTGTAGTGTAGAAGCAACAAGCATGTCATTGTAGTACAAGTACAGTGAAAGATATAACAAATTTTCGTTGATGCAAAAATTTAAATAGTTGTGTTACGTCTATATCTGACGTCCTAAAGTTTTAGGATTAGTTTTAATTTTCCGTTTGCTTACATGAACTTAGCATAAAGAATATTTTAAACATCTCAGTTTGCCTTTAGCAGTTTTTATATTAATAGGTAAAATATAGCCGTTGTTTGGTTCTTGACAATCCAGTCTTTGTTTTATCTTAGGTCTCATGATCTGAGTGCATACGCTCTCCAGGAAGGAAATTGCACCAAAGTCTGTTCCTGTTAAAAAGCAACATTTAGTCTCCATTTGTTGTGTATTAATATTAATAAATATCAACAGCATTCAAGTATGAAGCTAAGTGTGTTTATTAACTTTACTAAATAGCTATTCTGTTAGTTTTGAGAAATTAGACTTTTGTGTATGTTTGTTTGTTTGTTTTAAGATACAGGGTCTCACTGTGTTGCCCAGGCTGGTATCAAAACTCTGGCCTCAAGGGATCCTCCCACCTCGGCCTCCCAAAGTGCTGGGATTATGGCATGAGCCACCACGCCCAGCCTAGATAAATTAAACCACTGATACTGAGTTAACCTCATGGGAATTTTGAAAGGGGATGAATGATACTAATTTCTGCCTTCACTAGCATTATGCCTTTGTTTTGCCCACCAGGGAGAGAATCAAATCATGGTTTGCTACCCTTGTCCCATAAGAACCAAAATGTTTGGACTTGAGCATTTGCTTGATTTCCATCCTGCAAACCCCTCCTAACATGGCATCAGTTTGCCTTTACTTAATAAGTCACTGCTTTATGTTTCATCAGCTTTTAGAAACCAGTAGCCCAAAAGGCAGGTAGAAGAAGGGCCACCAAAGATGACTAAAAGAAAATGGTCCTCAACTGAGAGAGAGTACTAAGATTTGGGGAGGGAAAATTTCAGGAAGGATGGCAGAAAGTGTCCCATGCCACAGAGTGGTTTAGGAAAACAAGAAATTGAAATGTTATTTGGCAGTAATGAGGTCATCAGTGAACCGGTAGGGCAAAAACCATGTTACAGTGAGGGGTAAATGGCAGGTGGGAAATGAAGATGGGGCCAGGGCTGGAGATACAGATTTAGAATTCATCTATTTTTAGATGGCCATTGAAGCCATGTGCACACATTCTGTCATTTAGCGGGAGAGAGTGAAGGTAAGAAAGAACAGAAGCAGACCTAGGGCCTGGCCTTGAAGAACTCTAATGTTACTATACAGGTAAGGAAATGTACATACAAAGAGAAGGAGTAGACAGAAAGTAAAAGAAAAACCAGAAGATTCTGGTGTTACTTAATCTAAGAGAAAAGTGTTACAAGAAAGAGAGGGAGTGGCCAGCAGGGTTGGATGCTGCTGAAAGGTCAAGTATGATGCCTACAAAAGGCCGTGGGATTCAGTGACTTACAAATTATTGATGACCTAGAATTACAGAGCATAGAAGCTGGGTTGAGTTGAGAATGGAAACAGCATATACAACTTTTTAGGGAAGTATGAAGGGACTTCAAACAGTTTGTGGACAAGTGAAATTAAAAGATAAAATAAAAACTTTGTTTCTCAACATAAACTTCATGAAGGTCAAGACACTTTAAATAATGACATCAGCCATTTAGTTCATCCCTAAAGGACCGAGGAATTTAACCATGTCAGTGCAGTCTTTTTCACATTATTAACAAGAAAAGTGGGTGCTCTTTATGGATTTTTTTTAAGATTAGAAAACAAAAAGAAGTCAGAAGGAGCCAAATCAGGACTGTAAAGTAGATGCCTAATGACTTCCCATCAAAACTCTCACAAAATTGTCCTTGTTTGATAAGAGGAATGAGCAGAAGCATTGTCGTGGTGAAGGACTCTCTGATGGAGCTTTCACGGGTATTTTTCTGCTAAAGCTTTGGCTAACTTTCTCAAAACACTCTCATAAGAAGCAGATGTTATCATTCTTTGGCCTTCCAGAAAGTCAACAAGCAGAATGCCTTGAGCATCCCAAAAAACTTGCCAGGACCTTTGCTCTTGACCAGTCCGCTTTTGCTTTGACTGGACCACTTCCACCTCTGGGTAGCCATTGCTTTGATTGTGCTTTGTCTTCAAGATCACATTAGTAAAGAAAGCCACATTTCATCTGTTACAATTCTTTGAAGAAATGCCTCAGGATCTCAATCCTACTTGTTTAAAATTTCCATTGAAAGTTCTACTCTTGTCTGCAGTTGATCTGGGCACAACAGTTTTGGCACCCATTGAGTGGAAAGTTTGCTCAACTTTAATTTTTAAGTCAGAATTGTGTAAGCTGAACCAGTTGAGATGTCTGGTGTTGGCTATTGTTTCTGCTGTTAGTCATTGGTCCTCTTCAATTAGGGCACAAACAAGATTAATTTTTTCCTCCAAAATTGATGTGGGTGGTCTGCCACCATGGGCTTCATCTTCAACATCATTTTGTCCCTTCTTAAAATGAGTTAGCCATTTGTAAACTGCTGATTTCTTTGGGGCATTGTCCCCATAAACTTTTTATAAAGCATCAGTGATTTCACCATCCTTCCACCCAAGCTTCACCCATAAATTTGATGTTGGTCCTTGCTTCAATTTTAGCAGAATTCACGTTGCTCTGATAGGGGCTTTTTTCAAAAAAACTGATGTCTTATCCTTTTTAGTGCCAGATCCTGTTCAGACATGTTATAACAAGTTAGTATGAGTTTATTTTGGTACGAAAAAAATTGGAAATCCATGCATAGTTTTTTCATAATACACATTTTCCATGAACTTTTTGAAGACCCCTTGTATGGCCATGAAAAAAAAATGGAGATAGGTAAACAGTGTTGATGAAAGCTTATTTTAAATATGAGAAGTTAAATATGTTTAGAAGCCAAAAGGAAAGCTCTAAGAGAGAGGATGAATACCCAAGGGAAGATAGAACTAATAGTGTAGGTTTCCTGCAAAGGCAGGTAAAAATGGAAGCCAAGGGCCGGGCACAGTGGCTCACATCTGTAATCCCAGCACTTTGGGACGCTGAGGCAGGAGAATCACTTGAGGCCAGGAGTTTGAGACCACCCTGATCAACATAGTGAGACCCTGTCTCTACAAAAAATTTAAAAATTAGCTAGGCATGGTGGTATACACCTGTAATCCCAGCTACTTGGGAGGCTGAGGTGGAAGGATTGCTGGAGCCCAGGAATTTGAGGTTGCTGTGAGCTATGATCATGCCAGCCCAGGCAACAGAGTGAGACCTTGTCTCTTAAAAAAGAAAGGAAGCCAAGGTAGAGGTAAGAGGAGTTGGCCTTAGGAGAAGCAAAGCTCCTGCACCATGAGTTGGCATCACTTGCCTCCTTGCCCAGCTTGTTGCCAGCCATCTCAAGACTGTTTTCATGTCAGCACCTCCCTCTTTTGTCCTATTTGCCTGACTAGTCTGGCTCTGGGTAAACCACACTTCCCCACCCTACCCTCTTAAATTTCTTGCACTCATTTATTCATTTAGCAAGTATTTACTCATTGCTGACTGTGCCAGGCCCTGGGGCCAAGGACTCAAATGTCCTTGAGTAACTCATGGTCCAGTGGTGGCAAGAGACAAATAGAAATAATCAGAGCACAATGCACAATGTGAGAAGGGCTGGAGTAGCACAGGATGGTGTGGGAGACTCCTGCCGCTAGGCTGCCAAGTTGCTGGAGAAAATCCCTAAACCAGATCAACTGGTGAAACCACAGGAGGGTCCTCCCTTCTGCCAAGCAATTTTTTTTATCCATCTGGAAGTGATAACCTTCTCCACAGTGCCACCTTTCTTTCTCTGGTTTGCTCCCTCACTCACCTTTCTCATGATGAGGGAGTGGGGTGAGGATGACTTCATAAATCATAATTTCATGTTCTTAATAAATAGAAACTGCTATCAACAATGGAAAAACAAGAGCTCATTCAATTTTTGCCTCCTTTTCTTCAGACACAGGTTTGATTTCTTTGGAAATAGAGACAGGATGGAAACAACTCAGGTACTGGCTATCTGAACATTTATTGAGCACCTCCTGCTACGTGTTTGCACTGACACTGTGGTAGTGAACACAATACAGTCCCTTTCTCATGATGCTTACAGCCATGGGGAGTGGAGAGAAGGGATGCTAAGGGAAGTAGGCAGGAGAAATTAAAAGGGTAAGGGCAGTGGGAGTAGGTATTGCCAGGGCAGGGAAAAAGGCAGGGCTTGGGCATTCATGAGGCTTTGACGCCTTCAAAATAAGGACCCAGACCCCCTTCCCAGCATGCAGACACAAGGTAGTCCTGAGGCAGTAATTAAGTTCTGATTTAAAAATTAAGATCTAAACTTGCTATAATATTCACAGACGTTATCTTTAATTCCACAGGGGAAAGGTTAATTAAAGGAGTTTTGTAAGCTTTTGTTGGTATAAAGAGCTCTATATATTTTCATGGGAGCTGCCCAGAACTTTTACTGTCTCTGGGCTATCCTTTATACCACAAAATTTTACTATACCAGTTATATCATTATTAGGTAAGGCAATGTAGCAAAGATAGGCTTAAACCTGGTGAATTCTTTTTTTTTCTTTTTTGGAGACAGGGTCTCTCTATGTGGCCCAGGCTAGAATGCAGTGACTATTCAAATACATGATCACAGCACACTACAGCCTTGAACTCCTGGGCTCAATAAATCCTCCTGCCTCAGACTCCCAAGTAGCTGGGACTACAGGCGTGTGCCACCATGCCTGGCTACACTTGGTGAATTCTTAGTATATGTTGACAGCTACATACATAGAATTAGCT